TCCGTACTACAGAATTCATAGCCAAACATAGCAGATCAACTTCACTTGTGATGGCAAAATTTCTACCTACAAAGTGGAAATATGCTAAAGGGAGGGGTTAGTTTTGAAGTTGCAAAAAGACCATGATAATGATAGATGGTTGCCTACGCCAATTTGGTCATTTTGATCATTGGTAAAGCGAAGAAGGTGGAATGAATATTCCCAAGTCCACCCGACATTCAATCCTAACGAACTCTTCGCCAGTCAGTGATTGTCCCTCAAATGAACTCTCTCATGAACACCTTCACTACCGCCTTCTTGTATAATTCGTTCCTACCGGTCTCATGAACACTTCCCCTGAGTCCAGCACAATCCTAACTAATTCTGGGGACCGACACGGAAGAGGGCCCCCCGTGTGGGACCTCCACTTTATCCTTTAAAACTTTGGACGCTCCAGATTAAATCCTTACTCCTCAATACTTCTTCATCCGAACTCCCAAACACTTCCACCTATACCATCAAATCAAAATCTATTCGCAATTGGATCCCACACCGCCAATAATAAATGCAATCTCCAAGGGAAAGAAAACACACTCCTAACCCAACACCTGCACTACAACTGCCGCCATCCTCCTCCTTTCCATCATCACTTCACGACGGCCATGGAAACAAGAATCAAAGCTGATGGCGGAAACAAGGTGAAGTTAATGTGCAGTTACGGCGGGAAAATTCTGCCGAGGCCTCGGACTTGCAAACTTACCTACGTTGGCGGCGACACGAAGCTCCTGACCGTTGATCGAAACGCTAAATTCTCAGACATTGTCAAGAAGCTCGATTCTCTGTTCAATTTCAAAACCGACGATATCCTGATGAAGTATCAGTTGCCTGGAGAAGACCTCGACGTCTTGATATCTTTGACCGGCCATGATGATCTCGAGAACATGATGGTTGAATACGATCGTTTCCGTTTCCACAGGATTCCTTCTCCGCATAACAAACCAGTAAGGATACGCCTCTTTGTTTTCTCCTCCGCGAGGAACCCCGCGAACCCGACAGGTTCTAAGTCCGGGTCGGGCGCCCCTTTGAATCCGGATTATCTCTTCGGGTTCGATAAGTACTGCGACTTCAACAGTACTACAACTGACATGCAAGCCAGTAACAGTGCCACAAAATCCACACACGACTCGGAGCCTCGGAAGATTCCCTGCACGGTTCATCCCAGGAACATACCATCAAACAGCAGTCTGAACCCTAATTGTCATAATGCGAATGAGGCGCAGAAGGTAACAGCACGTGATGGGCACGTGGCTGTTGGGGTAGCAAACCAGCAGCGATTATCAGCATACGGTTTTCCGGTGATAAGCGTTGGGTTGGAACAAGCACGGCAGCGAAGCAGAATATTAATGCCCGGAATGATGAAAGTGGGGATGATGATGAATGGTGATCGCCTGCAACAGCCTATATACAATTTTGTTCCGACGATGCCGTCGGTGCCGGAGTAGATGGACATAGTGGTGACTGCAGTAGATATGTCGTGTCACGATCCAAAGGTTACCACAAGACCCCGTTAACTTCTTTTTTTTTTTTCAATAATTTTTTGTTTAGTAGTTCTTTTGGACATGGAATGAGCAGATACGTAGTGATGAATGCGTGCATGTTGAACAGTTTTTTGGTAGCTTTAATTTTTCCCATTTGACAAAGTTTCGTACTATAAACTTTGTAATTGGATTGATTCATGAACTGCTTTTATTACTGTGTATACCAGCTACATTAACAGGTTAGCAAATTGCAGTTTTACTGTACCAAAGGATTTTGTAGTTAAGTAGCTCTCTGGTGTAGCAGATGATCAAATTGTAGGATTACTTTCCAGTTTCACCTTCTGAAGAACCCATTAGAAACTCCCGCGGACAAGTATGATTTTGGTTTTCCATAAATTTGGCCAACTTATAATTTGGTCTTCACATGAATGATTAATGGATGATCACCTGCTGCTGCTCTATCATTGTAGTACTAGTTTTGTATCTTTGGCCCCTTTTTTTTTTTTTCAAAAAAAATATGTTGAAGTCAGTTTGTTTGTACGGCAACCTACTCGTTATAAACAATGTAACGTCTTCTTAGTCAAGAAAATCGTCCTTGTGAGAAACTTTGAGTGTGAACCTAGAAAGTATTGGTCCATCCAGTACATATTTCAAGAACATAATCCTTTTGCGGTCGGTCGGTTGCTTGACTTCTTCAGTTTTTGTTTTTTTTTCTAGCAAAGGAGGGGAAGGACTTAAGATCGGACTAGGTTAGGAGATTTGAATCCAAAACCACTAATTTCTAAAGTTTTAAACTCAATTTTATTTACTTACATCATCATTACAATTTCCAATACATCTTTTTATCTTCTCAATTATCTTTTTATCTCACATATATCACGTCACAAAAAAGTGCTACAGTAAAAATATCCCAAATAACTTACGATCCAAACAAATTAGATTTGACTTCTTTAGTTTGTTTAAAGGTATAATTTTTCTTTTATTCATGTCAGTTTAGGCAGGTTCATGGTTGATTGATTTATTATGATATGACAGTATACCTCTTTCGAGATTTTGTACCCATAAGGATCGAGCAAGTTTGTAGGCTGTAGTTACGGCCGAAGATCCTAAATAATATATACCTTTAAAAAGCTCTAAATGATTATCAGTTGTTCGTTGGATTTGGTTGGATATATAAACTTGTTTTTTGTTTGCAGATCGAGTCCAATTTTACACTCACGAGCCATTTCAAAAACCCATAAATCAAAAAATGTTCACAGTACCAAGTAAATATCATGCCTCTTAATTAGTCTCTCCCTGTGGTTCGCCAGGATATCTTTTATTTTCCTTTTCTTTATTCAGTGGAAAACATCTAAAAAATGTTTCTTCACATTGACAACAGAATTCCAACACACAGTCTTAGTCATTAATCCTTGTGAGAAGCCTCTAGATCCTGTGCAAATGGAGCTTCCATAACTGAGGGAGGCTATAATTAATTGGTTAATTGTGTGGTGAGAATGACCGGAAGGGATTTAGGAAAAGAGCTGTTTCATTGGTCAAATTCTTTCCTGTAAAAAATACATTCAAAAATTCAGTAGGAGGGTGAATTTGAGTATTCAAAAAATGGCATGTAAGATGATTCCTCTGTTGTCTTTTTTCTCTTGAGCCCCTGTTTTCCAAATTAAAGAGCACAGAACAGAATCTCTTTCTAAAATGTTAATTACTCGGCCAACTAAATATGCATTGGTATTTCCTAATAATACTATGCTCTACCCTCCCCGTTGCGCCATAATAACTTAACTTCACCAGTATGTTATTGCTAGCTAGTTTTCTAGAATACCATTTGGCACCGAAGGTCCTATGAGAAAAAAACGTCACGGGCTAAATAATCAAAGTCCTAATCTACAAGATGCAAAAGAACGTACTATAACCTTTTACGTCTATCGACGAGAATCGCGTCCAACTCTTGCTCCGCGCATGCCATTCAACCATGCTCAAAATTTTGACCACCTTTCCAACTAATCCAAATCCAATTCATAGTCCGCAAAATTTATCAACAACTCCACTATAGCAATCTAGCTAGCTACATGACGCAAGTAAAACAATAGTATGTATGTATATGAAAGGGCAGTCTTTTCAAGTCCTGCCGCATTCTCAAAGAAGAGCCTTCCACAATTTTGCTGTTCTTAATTCATAAACAGAATAAGTTTGAGGAAGCTTTTTCAAAATTTGATTGAAGATTCATTTGGTCCACTGGATAGAATAGAAAGACTTTTCTCCATACATTATTTATTAAATACGTAGATGGCCTTGTTTATTTATTCTAGGCTTAGTGATTTTCATTCAATACGTAGATGGCCTTGTTTGAATTGCATTTTCTTGGATTTTTTGTAGAAAAATTATTGTAATGATTTGATGTATGTAAGGAAAAAAAGTAATAGAAAAATGTGATCACGGACAGAATTTTTCGTGAGAAAATGGCTATTCAAACGAGGCCTAAGTTAGGCAAATGCGGTAAAAATACTAATCATTTCAAGCATCTACGTTCTTACCTAGTTGACATATAAAGGGACCAAAAATTTCATCAAAAAAAAAAAAAAAACTTAAAAAACCAACATCTATAATTTGCAACAATACAAACTTTCAGGACGAAAATTGTCTCTCTCAAAACTGAAAGGACTAAAATTGCAATTATCCCATCGGTGAGTGTAGCAACCGGAGCCCACGCTGTGAGAAGCGTGCATGCACCTTACGGGTTCTGGGGCTTGGCAAGGCTGTCATCAAACTTTAGTGCAGATTTTCCTTGCTTTCCTTCTTTTGGGAACTCGAAAATTTGATTTTATTGCTTTCCCTTTTTGAGCAGGCCCATCTTACCCCTGTTACGAGGATCCGGAAAGAAAGATTCAATTTAACTTGAAGATAGACGTGGTATGTTCTATTACTAGAATATAATTTAGATTTGAATGAGCTGCGATACAAAGGGTGAATGAATGAGAGAGTTAGTTGTCAGAACCATTCTTAAGCAGGTCTGGTTCATGTACATCATCATAATTCCCTGCTTTATGTGCACCATTATCTGGGCAAATTTTGCATTAAATTCCCTGCATCATCATTATCATGCAGAATTTGCGACAAACGTATTAAGTGGAGATTACTACTATTACAGTAACTAAATGCACGTATTTATCTGGAAAGATTTCGAATGGCCATAGCGGCTTCCAGACTCTAGAGTGCAGAGGCGAAAAGAAAAAAAAAAAAATTTACTGGTAAGATGGAATAAAATGATTGAAAAGATACGCAGGATGGCAGGAAAAGTGAAAAGGATATGAGAAAGAAAGAAAGAGCGGCGTCGGAGAAATCATTATGCGGTGACGGCTCAAATTGGCGGACGTTTTTCTTCTATTGGTCATTGGTCCCACTCCCACCTTATTATTTTCCGTAATTACCACTTTTCTTTTTACGTAATTACTTCTGCGCCAATACCCGATAATGTCCTATAAATAAATGCGAAATCGGGTTCACTGCCCGTTTCTTGGCCGAAGTTCTCAGTAGTAGTTTCCTGAATCTTATATTATTCTTGGGAAGTCGTCTTCATCATTGAAGCCTTAACTCAGAGATGAATGAACCACCAAAGTATGCTTATCCTTATCCCTCTCAAGGTACTCCCAATCTTTCTCTCTTTGATCTCATCATCTTCTTTCACCCTGGAGAAAATTAAACCCTGTTTCATTTTTATGATGAACTTCCAGATTTCTTTTTCTTATACGTTTAAAGTATTTATTTGTCATTTTATGGGTTCCCCTGAGACCAAGACCAAGGTTTTTGTTTCATCATCAACGCTTGCTTATCATAATGATTTGATGTATAGGATATTACCAAGGGCCTCCGGTGATGGCACCCCCACAATATCAATATGCAGCACCTCCACCACCCAGAAGGTCACCTGGTTTTCTCGAGGGATGGTATGCTATATGAATTTTTCCCTTCTTTCTCTTTTTCGTGTTCCCTTTTCTACTAAATCTCTCTTTCTTCCCCCCCCCCCCTTCCTCCGTGGGATATGTAAAGATTTAATTGTATAATCTTTGGGGGTTTGGCAGTCTTGCGGCGTTGTGTTGCTGTTGTCTCATTGATGAGTGCTGCTGCGATCCCTCCATCATCTTCGTCAGCTGAGCTGATCCAATTTCTAGTGATGTTAATAATTTCGTGTCATCCTTTTCATGATAACTAGGTAAAAACCAAAACAGGCAGGATGATGATTTCAAGTTGTGTTTTTTTTTTTGGGGTTAGCTAGGTATTACTAAAGTGATGTTTGGTTGGAATCCTCGTGTAGTCTTGGACCCTTGGAAGCCAGCTTTCAGTCCATCATCATGGCTGATGGTTGGATGGATGTGTGGCTGGTGGTGATTCCATTTTAATTTAATTTCAGCGGATTTGACTGCTTATGAATTATCTCTCATTCCATTCTAATTTTCCGCGAGCTACGGTCGGACCATGCGCTGGTGATTTAACGTCGTCATAATCTGACCACAATCCCAGATTAGTCGTAATTGACAGCCCACTTACCAACAATACACTAATGAAATTTGTACCCCGATATGGATTATGGTTTTGCCTCAAATCTTTTCTAACTTTAATTTTCGTTTAAATATTAATCTATGTGAACTAATAATGGTTTCTTGAATTGAGATAAAACGTTTCTTGGCTTGGGCACATTTGCTCGGTCTCATCACTAGTTTGTTCAATAAAGAAGAAGACAAATCAAATTTCTCTCTTCAGCTGCAGTTCTTCTTCAAATGCCTCTTTCTTCTAGCACAGCGGGCGTGTGATGTCTGGGAACCGCTGGTCCCTGCTGCCGTTGAATTGCGAACAACATGACAAGAATTATAACGTCTAGATCAGGCTAATTGATGACTCATTCTATATATACTCCATATTCAAAACAGCAAGGAAAGAAATTATCCAGTAGATGAAACCCTCATAATTTTGTGCGTGCGTATTCGTGATTTGTGAGGGAAAACACTAGTATACTATGCCCCGAGCATTATGGAAACAATTAACGGCTCTATCTATGTGTAAAGATGTGCGCTTGCTTTACAGGTCATTCTTCCACTGAATCTTGATCTTGGAGCTTCCTTCCAAAATCAAGTACATTGCCAGAAAGTTTTAGGCCTTGTTTTGTTTTCTATGTTAAGGGTCACATCCCACCCTAATTAGACACGGTAAAGGGAAATGTATAGCAACCAACTGGGGTTGGGCCAAGTGGTAAGCAGCTTGGTTCCGTTTAAGCAGGTCTCGGGTTCAAAATCTGGCGTACCCAACTATCTTTGTTGGGAGACTCATCCATCACAGCCAGATGCGTGATCTGGGTAGACCAACGGATTAGTCAGGGCAAAACCCTGGATACCGTGGCAAGCAACCACAAAAAAAAAAAAAAGGTAAATGTATAGCAGCAACACCACTCGAAGTTGGTAATTAATTACCTCTCCAAAAAAAAAAAGTCATTAATTACCGCTCCAAAAAAAAAAAAGAAGTAAATGTATAGCAGCAACACCACTCGAAGTTGGTAATTAATTACCGCTAGTATAACGTACTATCAAAAGAGGACTTGGACAATTCTTGAAGTAAGCTTTGAGCATTATGTCTTTGGTCGAGAGAAATCCACGAAGTGTCGATTTTAAATTGATAATTGTGTTTGTGGTCTGTATTGTTATTACCCTGAGCTTCTTATCTTGTAGGTTGACTTGGTTAACAAATGTGATAGGAGAATGTAACTTCGGTCAATCAAAGCACTTGACAAATCAAAATGTGATAGGCGTTTGAACTTAAGATCAACCTGATAAAGTTCTCTACACTTGATTTTGCAAATTTTATGGACTCCTCAAATTGACCTAACAAAAAGAAGATCAATTCTCACGGACAGACTTAAAGAAGGTTTAACTATGTAATATATCAGTTTTTTTTTTATATTTTTAACCATATATTTATATATATATTTTTATTTCACATACATAAGTCGCGTTACAAATAATAATACAGTATTTATTCTGAAAAAAAAAATTCTGATAATCTTCAATCAAACAAATAATATGGGTTTGTGGTACTTCACCTTCTTTGTGATCTGAAATACCCTCCTCTCTAACTCTTGTCACAACTAGCCCAAGGTGACTTTGAACTTGATGGGGGTCACACCTGTGAATCCGAACCCATTACAACCAGCCCGTGTTGAATGTCAAAAGATGGATCAACACTCTCTTAACTGCATGCATATTTAATTACGGCCGGCCCAGGTAACCAGCCCGTGTTGTTGTTGTTGTTGGTTTTTTTTTTTTTTTTTTAAAATGGGAAGTGCAGTCTGCAGCCCTTGTTGATTTTGCACTTACGGCTCAGTAGGTGTTGAACTAGAATTACCACTTTGTCCTTCAAAAAAGAATTACTACTTTGCACTATCTGGATTTGGTGCGGAAAAAGCGCAAGGAAAATAAAAAATAAAAAGAAACAATTTTAGCGATTTAGCATTGTAACTGTCAAATTTACACCACTTCTAAATTTAATTGGCAAAATAAACTTATGCAAAATTATTCTCTTCTCTTGAAAAACAAAAAAACACTTTTCTAATGTTAATATACTCCTATTGCTTAATCTGACCTATAAATCACACAACATGATAATACTCCCAAATTCTCAAAGATTGATCACCATAGGTTTGGTTATGCCAATCGATCGAGTAGTACTTTGGTAGTCATCCACAAAGGGTGTGGGTGAGCCAACCCCTCATCAGTAGTTTGCGAGCAATTGAGTCAAAAAAAACTTGACTCGAAATTAGTTTGACCGAATTCGAGCTCGAGCTATTTATTCCGTGTAACAAGTCGAGTTCGGGTATCAGTAGTAATTACTTGACTGTTCGATGAGTTTAATTCGAGTATTTATGTTATTTATATATTCTATATTTTAATTATGTAATAAATATTATGGGTTCATATTTTAATAATTTTACATGAAGTATGTTTAATAAAAAAAGGTGATAAATGGCAAAATAATTATACGATAAATCTAAAATATAAAAAATTTAAAAAAAGAAAAGAAAAACTCGAGTTCAACTTTGATAGGGTCAACAGTTTACTCAATCTCAAACAAATTGACTTCAAATTTAAATTTCAGAGTGTGTTTGAATTGTAAATTATTTGAAATATTTTTACCGTAACATTTTTTGTGATGTGATGTATGTGAAATAAAAAAGTAATTAAAAAGATAAAAAATATATTAAAAATTATAATTATGATGTAAGCAAATATATTTAGATAAATAATTTTCTGTCCAAACACATGTTGAATCGAGTTCGAACTCAAGTTAATATACTCATTCGAGTTTAAAATCAACAAACACTGATAGCAATTGAGTTCAAGCATGGTATTACTTGAATTCGACTCGGCTGCATAGCACTCCGGTCACCTAAAGATTACTGAAATGCAATCAGATAGCTATTGCCGGACTGGTACAGTTGTACATCACCAGGCGTCAGCAGAACCAATCAGAGTTGGCCCCCTCCACGTCACCAAACGACCCCACATGGAGTCAATGCAGCAGGATCTGATATCCTTCCATCCCCAGCCCCCAGGAAATTTTCTTCCGCTTCAAACTCAAATAGGTACTAGAGTATTTATTTCGAAATTTTAAGTTCCCACCCAAACACATCATCCACGCATCACATGACGCCACGCACTCCCCCAGGGTCAATCGCAGCCATTGGCACCACCTGGCACGGTCGGGCAATGCGGGCAAGCATCAGAAACATGCAGGCCTTGAGATCAAACTTCAACGGCTGAGATTCTGCCCGATCTGCAGACCTGCAGATCTGGCTGCCTTTAAGAAGCGGTGATCCTCCTCCTGCTTTCTTCGTTCAAGCAAGGAGGGTCATAGAAACCCTCGCCTTTTAATAATTTTTTGCCTTTTTTCTTGGTTTAAATACACTTTCCATTTTTATTTTCTGAACACATTTCCCTCCAACAAATTACTAGCTTTCGACTTTCCGGCCAGCGGCGGTTAAAATTTCCGGCTTTCTAGCCATGTGTTCCCGCCATTTTTTGGTCGGAGATTGACCGCCGGGGCGAAATTTCTTGAGCGACCCGTTTGATTTGAAATTCAATCCGCTTATTTTTTTTGGCTCCCGCCTCATATGGCTTCCGCCGTCTTGCCCAGCCGAAATGAGTCCTATTGGGCTGAACGCGAGGTTTGTATGAGGCAATTTCCAAACAACCGCACGAATCATCCCCATTTCTACCCGCGGTTGAATCCTAAACCTCGTCCTAACCCTAGCAGGTTTCCAAACCCCGTTTTCAACTCAAATTTCAACGTTAGCCGGCAAATCATTGATCTTACAGCTAAAACTGGTCTCCGGCAGCGCAATGAACCATCACCCAGGCCTCCTTTCCTGCCACCTTCGGCGTCGATCAATGATCCGCACTCCTTTAACCGGAGTGCAGATGGGCCTCTTCTATCCAAGGATCCGTTTCACCGAGAGTACGTGACATTCAAAGCGTCGTCATACTCGAAAAGAGAGCTGAAAGAGCTGAAAAATCGACTAATCTCAGACCTCGAACGGGTTCGGACCCTATTGACCCGAATACAGACCCGGGAGCTTGAGTTTAGACCCGGTTTTTGTAGGGCCCTATTCAGGCCGCCTGCTGTTGAAACAAATCACATACCAGTGAACCTTACATCAGATGAGAAGCAGAACCAAAAGAACCGGGCATCCGGGTCAGTGACCCGAAAGGGTAAGGGCAAAAAGAACCAAAAACTTTCGGGGCAAAAAAGGGCTCTTGCTTTAGGTGATGCTCGAGAAACAAAGCGGCCGTTTGTGATCCCAACCTCATCAGAGGCCGAGAAGGCGTCGGAGATGGTGATGAAGAAATGTAAGCAGATTTTGATGACACTTATGAAGCAAAAGCACAGTTGGGTTTTTAATAAGCCCGTTGATGTTGTTCGTCTAAGGCTTCATGATTACTTCAAAGTCATAAAGCATCCAATGGATCTTGGGACGATCAAGTCTAATTTCAACAAAAGGGTGTACAAATCACCCCTTGAATTTGCTTCGGATGTAAGGCTGACTTTTAACAATGCCATGAGATATAACCCCAAAGGGCAAGATGTCCATGCAATGGCGGAGTCTATGCTTTCGAGTTTTGAAGAAATGTTTGAGCCCGTGTATCAGGAGTATGAAACCGGACATCGAAAACTGGTTGCTGAGAAGATGAACGAAATTACCAACTGGGTTCAGCTGGAACCGGTGATTGCGATGCCACAACCGATATTGTTGAGTTCGCCTTCATGTCAGAATGAGCAGATTCTGTTGTCTCCTGGATTGCAGAGTACAAGCGGGAAATTGCCAAACCCAAAAGCCAAGGATTCGAACAAGAGGCAAATGAGCAATGAGGAGAAGTCTAACTTGG